AGACCCCTCGGTATATATATAAAGTATGAGGGGGGTGCAAATCGAAAGTTTGAGGGGGGGGGGGGTGCAAATCAAAAGTCTGAGGGGTGGGTGTGCAAATCGAAAGCTTGTCCCCGGGTAAAAATTGGACCCCCCCCTTGAGACGCCACTGGTCTCGAGTCAATTCTTGCCGCCAGAATAATGCTTGGTCTGATTAACTTAAAAGTCATAAAGTTCAGCTATGTAAGGGCTTTGTTGTTGCCTAAGGATAAGAATAACAGAAGATGTGTATGTCGTAAAAGCAATATCTCTGTTGATGTTAGTAAATACATGCATGTAAATATGTAACAATGTAGAAACTGTTGAACCAATATGATGCTAAATGTGGGCCAATATTGAACAAATAGGCAGCCAGTGTAAAAAGTGTATGTTGAATTTGCACCACTATATGGCTAAATGTGGGCCAATATTGAACAAATGGGCAGCCAGTGTAAAAACTGTATGTTGAATGTTGGACTAGTACATGTTCAAATTTGGGGCCAATATTGGACACATGGATAGCCAATGTAAAAATCTATCTATATATATAATTCTCTTCTGGGAGACGCTAGAAAACAAGCTGCAAGCGCCTCCTTACAGTCCCCTCTCTTTCTCTCTATCACTATCACTATCACTACCACCCCCACCCCACCCCCACATGGTCTGGTGAGTTGTGGTCACGCTAAATGTTTACAAATCGTAGAGCCGGGTTTAGTGACGGCTATTAGGGGCAGATAATTTAGTTTGAAACGATGTTAAACTAATTAAGAGGAGGCTGCTCTCACTGGGGGGGGGGGGGGGAGGGGTGAAGGGTCGGGGTTAGGGGAAAGGGGGGGGGGGGGTTAGTGTTTTAAAGCAAATATTTTCAGTGGCAGCATTGGTACTGTCGAATTCACAAATTATGAATTACTGAAAAGTAGAAAATAAAACAACTAAATAGCGGCGTATGATACGCCGCGGGTCGGCTCGTTGTTTAATATTTAAAGTTGGGACCAAAATATGGTCGATTTGGCCGACTCCAGTTACCAATATCTTATCGTGAGTCAGCATGACTTTTAAGAACTCGCAGATTATCTCCTCTTTTCAGATCTTAATCCAAAGCTTTAATCCTAGACCGTAGTTGTTTACGAAAATAATCTTAAGCAGCTCAAATTTAAAATATTCCCAAAATATTTCGGCTTAGTATACATAAACTATTGATCACATTTAAAAAACACTTCGATTTTTTTTTTTCGTTCGGATTAGTCAAAGTCTATAGGGTGGATTAAGAATGAGTGTGCCAGGGTTATATAACGGTTTATTTGACGTACGAAAACAACCTCTAGGGTTATGAAAGCTGATCGTATGGCAGTCATTGGAAGGCGATTAAAGGATTTATCAAATTATGCCCGTGTTAAGTAGATTACGTCTCGAGGGGGGCCGGGATGCCGAGGCATCGGCTGTAGGGGATTATCTGTGTGGGGAGCCCCACAGAAATTTTCCACAGACGATTTCACCTAACCCCCATATGGGGACTATTAAACGACGTGGACGTGGGGTAGAGCGCCCAACCCCCCCCCCCCCATATCTATGTGGGGAGCCCTGCAGAAATTTTCCACAGACGATTTCACCTTACCCCCATATGGGGACTATTAAACGACGTGGACGTGGGGTAGAGCGCCCAACCCCCCCCCCCCACACACACACACACATACACACCCCTAGGTGCTAGTTTGTAAAGTTAATTTAATTCTCAAATAGCCTATACATTCGGGACGACTTAATGGATCGAACTGCCTTAAACCCTTTTTTTTTTACTTTTTTGTAAACTGATTAATTATTTTAAAAAAAATAATTTTGTTTTTCAAAAGCGGGTTTGATTAAATTCTAAAACAGACACGCCATTTAAAGTGGCTTGGGTGAATACAAAATAAAAGCGCTTGTAGCATGCTTGACATAATAAACATGTTAAATATTTATTAAAAGAGTAAACAGCTTTAATTATCTAATTTGACTTCATAAAATCGTATATCAAATATGCATTAAAATTGTTTTTATTTGCATTAAAAAATGCTAATGAGTTGATTAATTAGCTTCATTAACATGATGTGGGTTGACTTTTAATTAAACGGGCTTGCGAAATAAAATAAACATATCTAAACAGAAAGCTAGTATACTAGTTTTATAGTTTTAAAAATACATGCGACTTAACTCAGTATAGTATCGCTGGTCAAGTTGTTAGGGCAGTAGCGTAGCGAGGGGGGGGGGGACATATGTCTCCGGGCGCCGACCTTAGGGGGCGCCAAAATGGGTTGGAAAAATAAATTGAAACATTGAGGGGGGTGCAAATCGAAAGTTTGAGAGGGGGGGGGGGGGGGGGTAAATCGAGTCTCGGGGGGGGGGGGGGGGGGGGGTGCAAATCGAAAGTTTGAGAGATGGGTGCAAATCGAAATCTCGAGGGGGGGGTGCAAATCGGGGAAGGGTCGCTACGCCTCTGTGTTAGGGGATGTAATTGTACCATCATTTTTTTATATTTAACTTGCTGACACGTCACTCGTTGCAGAGGCGTAGCGATCCTTCCCGGCGCCCAGGGACAAATTTCAATTTGGCGCGCCCTCCCCATATATTTTTGTATATTTATAATGCAGATTTGCAAATAAAATGACCTTTTAATTTTTTTTCAACCCATTTTGGCGCCCCTTATGATCGGCGCCCTGGGACATATGTACCAACCCGCCCTCCCCTCGCTACGCCTCTGACTTGTTGTTGTCTAAGATGAAAAGAATTTTATTGAATACGAGCCGACCCGCTGCGTATCATACGCCGCTATTAAGTTGTTTTATTTTCTACGTTTCGGTAATTTATAATTTGTGAATTCGACTGTACCAATGCTGCCACTGAAAATATTTCCTTATAAACACTTAACACCCCTTCCCCCCCCCCCCCCCACGTGAAAGCAGCCTCCTCTTAGTTACCTCCTCTAAGTTTAAAATCGTTTCTAACTAAATTATCTGCCCCTAATAGCCGTCACCAAACCCGTCTCTATGATTGTAAAATGTAAACAGCGTGAACCACAACTCACCAGACCGTGTGAGGGGGTGGGGGGTGGTAGCTTGCAGCTTGTTTTCTAAAGGCTCCCAGAAGAGAATTATATATATAGATGCGTGTACAACTACACAAAAAAATATGCACCAGCCAAACGTCAAAATATTTACTGTGGCTGGCGATACGGTCGTTCACAGTGGTCAGTCGCCACAGTGGTCGGTCGCCACAGTGGTCGGTCGCCACAGTGGTCGGTCGCCACAGTGGTCGGTCGCCACAGTGGTCGGTCGCCACAGTGGTCGGTCGCCACAGTGGTCGGTCGCCACAGTGGTCGGTCGCCACAGTGGTCGGTCGCCACAGTGGTCGGTCGCCACAGTGGTCGGTCGCCACAGTGGTCGGTCGCCACAGTGGTCGGTCGCCACAGTGGCCGGTCGCCACAGTGGCCGGTCGCCACAGTGGCCGGTCGCCACAGTGGCCGGTCGCCACAGTGGCCGGTCGCCACAGTGGCCGGTCGCCACAGTGGCCGGTCGCCACAGTGGCCGGTCGCCACAGTGGTCGGTCGCCACAGTGGTCGGTCGCCACGATGATCATTCGCCACATTGTTCAACTGTCACAAAAATCAGTTATGCCGTTGGTCAATCGCCATAATGGTTAGTCGCCATGATGATCAGTCGCCATAATGGTCAGTCGCCATAATGAACAGTCGCCATATAGTCACATTAATCAGTTGCCACTTTGGTCAGTCGCCATAATGGTCAGTCGCCATAATGGTTAGTCGCCATGATGATCAGTCGCCATAATGGTCAGTCGCCATAATGGTCAGTCGCCACAATGGTCAGTCGCCATAATGGTCAGACGTCACAATGGTTAGTCGCCATATTGGTCAGCCGCTAAAATCAATAAATCAATTGCTCACCTTTGTAAGTGATCAATTAGGACATGTTTTAATAACGTCATACCGGAGGATATTACTTGCCCATAAACAAAGATAGAGATATACACAGGTCGTGTCGTCAAATATCCCCCCCCCCGTCCTTTTCGCCGATCCACCCCCATTGTGGAGTATGATGTTATTACCGGACAACCATTAATAAAATATATGCTGCAAGGTTAATTAACCATTAAAATTAATGACCACTGAAGCCATCATTTTTCTCCATGCTATACAGCTTGCGTCACCAATACATCTTCAACAACATTAAAAACAAAAAGACGAAACATAAATTTAGCTGTTCATTAGCCATCTCTTTAAAAAAAAGGTTTGATATGTTTATTGTTTTCATCCACCCCGCACTCTAAATTAACAACAGCACAAAAATACATTTTATAAAATACATTTCGATCGGCTGGACAAAAAAAATGTTAAATTAAACTGGGTTTTTTTACGAATTAAAAAAAATTATTTTAAAGATAATAACGTTTTTGTGTTATTATTCAAGGGCAATTCTGCAGTTTATATAAGGGTCGGCCCCCTCCTCACTTAACACAATCGACCCAATTCCCCCCCCCCCCCCCCCCCCATCCCCACATCCTGTCGTAGCAGTAGTTTAGCACAGGGGTCTCCAAACTTTTCAGTCCGAGGGCCGCATTAACTTTTAAAATTTCAGCTCGGGGGCCAGTTTCTTCCAGGCATGTCTTTGATTTTTCTGGGCAAAGTTCCTCAGCCATCACCAACAAACTGTTTTTCCGTGGACAAAAAGATCTCCGCGGGCCGGATGAGAGGACATCGCGGGCCGCATCCGGCCCACTGGCCGTAATTTGGAGACCCCTGGTTTAGCAGATCAGTGAAGGCCGTGGCTATAAATTCATGAACACGTTGGTGTTTAAACATGTCATAAAAATATGGTGTCATTCTCTGCAAGAAAAAAAAATTAAATGAATATTTGATACAGTACCTCATACTGTTAGAGTCGCTACAACGTAACACAAAAAACAAACAGCTGATAGTGAACGATGATTTATTACAGGCGCGAATCAATGTTACTTTGATAACGAACAAAAACTTGAATCTCTGTCTTCATGAAACAAATCTTTTCTAAGCTGAAGGAGATCGACGTTACGATACGTTATCAAGGTTCGACCTAGGACACAACAAAGTACATAAAAATAAAGTAAAGCAGTTTACATAACACAAAGTACTTGAGATTAAAATTTCAAGTTTACATTGAACAAAGTAGACCTTGAGTTACTTTCCACTTGAACTCCGAGTTACGGGGCCTGAATAAAGGTTCAGAAAAAAGAACGACTGAATTTTTCGCTACTATAAATTGTCTAAATCTACGATAAAATGTATTAAAGGGCCTCAACCAAGACACACTGAATACATAAAGCGGCTATTCTATTTACAAAGAAACTTAAAAGGTAAAAGAGGCCAAAGTAATGGAAATAAATCAACCCTTAAACTAAGTAGGCCTACTTTAAAAACCGCTAGAAATATTTTTTTTTTGAATTTTCAAAATTTGGTGAGGTAAAATTCCATTGAAATTAATGCTAAATTTAATGGTATTTCACCATAAAAAAATCTTTGAAAATTTGAAAAAAAATATTTCTAGCGGTTTTTCTGATACAAAAACTAGCCAGCTGACTCTGTACAAGAAGGATCAATGAATGATTATATTGGCGGTTTATATGTTACTTTATGAAATTTTAGAACTCTTACAAAAGGTAGTTTTTCCAAGATGGCCGCCGTTGCCATGGCAACCATATTTTCAGAAGAGTCCTTGGTACATGCAAATATTTTCCCTTAAATACCCTAACTTATACATTCACAAATAATTTTTTTTAAAAATGGCTTATAAATTAAAAAGGTTTTTTTTTTCCCGGTTTTTTTTCCGGAGCCTACGTAAAATAACAAGAAAACCGAGTCTCATTGCCCTAACAATCACTCTCCATGATTTCTTTCACTAACTGTTGAAATCAACTTTTTGATCGACCCAAAACTCACTCTCTGAATTCAAATTAGCGGGCAACTTTTTCTTCTTGGTGGTTTTATTCCAGACGGAGGATGTGACGGCCCCAAACACTGTCAGACTAAAACCTAGGGCCTGGTGGTATTGGTGGAGGCTGGAGTGGTCGGTGAAGAACAGGAGACCCATCGTCACGGTCCGCTGAACTTGGGTCAACAATTGTTCTTTGTCAACAGATATGACCTGCAGATATGTGGAGTTTTAGGTGGGGGGGGGGGGGGGGGGGGGGCACGTGCCGACTACAGTTAAGTGACTACTGTAATCACATGTTGTGAAAGTGTATTTTTGCATGAAATTCAAATAGTTGATCAAATTTTTAAATGTACGTCAAATAGTTGATCAAGTTTTAAAAATATACCCTCTCAAATAGATGATCAAGTGTTTTTTTTTTAATATAGCTGTCAAATAGTTGCAGTTTCAATACAGTCCCTTCTACCAAGTCGTTTAGGATACTTTTGGAATGGCATTTCATGTTTTCCTAACATTTCTTATTTTAGTACATACAATACACACACATCAGTGGCGTAGCTAGGATTTTTGGGCCCCTATGCAAAAAGTGTTAGTCGGCCCCTCATAGGCATAGCGACCCTTCCCGGCGCCCGGGGACAAACTTTCGATTTGCACCCCCCCCCCCCTCAGACTTTCGATTTGCACCCACCCCTCAGACTTTCGATTTGCACCCCCCCCCCTCAAACTTTCGAAAAAGGGCCCCAATTTGCCTTGGGCCCCTATGCCTTGCTTACGCTAGCTTTACGGTAGCTACGCCACTGACACACATACATTTTTCTAAAGCTGCCTATTTCTATTTATAACGATGTACAGAAACGATAACTCCTGCTCGCTCTCGCCTAACTTTACCTTCGGCAACAAATACATAGTGATCATATCACCGACGAAATGACAAACTCCCGAGAACACCAGCATACAGACCGCGTGCACCGTTCCCCAGGGGAGGGTCTCGATCTTCTCCAGGTAGTAGACCCCCACGGCAACACACAGCTGGCACAGCACCCACACCAGGACCGCCCCCACGGGCCAGGGACTGAAGGGCGTGGTCAGGGGGTGGAAGCCCCGGACCGACTCCCGCACGAACAGTCCAAGGGAGGAAACTCCGTTGGTTGCTAGGGCGAGCAGGACGCCGACAATGTGGAGACGTTCGAGTTTCAACTCTTCTGCAACAGGAAAGTGTGTAGGTTTAGAGAACACCCTTGGTATTGTGTTTTGTTAAGGAAATTAAAGTTTGATGTTACAGTAAAGAAGGTAATGGGGGGTGTGTTCGTCATATGTGACGTCATATTTTTCTTTAAAGCTAACTTTTACACAACCTCACAAAAACCAAAACAACCCTCCCACCCTAACTCAAAAAACGACGTCACAAAATTTACCTTCTGCCCCCCCCCCCCCCCCCCCCCCCCACCTTCCGGCCCCCAATCAAATAATTACTAAAACTCTTTTTTTAAAATTGTTATATCATTTTGACAACATTTCATAGTTCAAATTATAAGCAGGGTTTCTTTCAGATTATACTCTCCCAGAGACGGGGGGGGGAGGGGGAAGAGGACGTATAATATTTTTCAGGCTAAAAGAACCTTTTTAAAAATCTAAACCCCTGCTATCCCCACTTTTCCCCTAAAAAAATCGCCCCCACACCTGTCACGTACCAACCCCAACGCTACAAGCAAATTCAGCCGAAGTCAAGTGGCCATATTGCGTATCACATGTTGACACTTCATACTAAATTCTGCTTGAACATTGACAACAAAATGTGACGTTCACTGTCATTCTATGTTTACCTAAAAGTACTAAAATGTTTACCTAAAAGTACTAAAATGTTTACCTAAAAGTACTAAAATGTTTACCTAAAAGTACTAAAATGTTTACCTAAAAGTACTAAAATGTTTACCTAAAAGTACTAAAATGTTTACCTAAAAGTACTAAAATGTTTACCTAAAAGTACTAAAATGTTTACCTAAAAGTACTAAAATGTTTACCTAAAAGTACTAAAATGTTTACCTAAAAGTACTAAAATGTTTACCTAAAAGTACTAAAATGTTTACCTAAAAGTACTAAAATGTTTACCTAAAAGTACTAAAATGTTTACCTAAAAGTACTAAAATGTTTACCTAAAAGTACTAAAATGTTACCTAAAAGTACTAAAACGAGCCCAAACACTAAAACAAGATGGCTGACGATCGTTATGTGGGGGAAACGTATTTTGGTGTATGTGGCTCGTATGAGGTTCAAGATGACTGGCTCCGACAGGGTTACAGCTATGGATAAATACGGCTGGGGAAAAAAGGGTTAATAGGGATCAATGAACAGTCCTATATTTCAGTCCTGCTTACACGATATTCATTCGTAGCTATGTAGACTCTCTCTATACCTTAATTAGAGCAATAACGGTGTCAGGGATGTAATCGATCCTATTTTTTTATTCAGACACTAGTTACATCCATTTGCTGGATAACTGAATAACTCACTGTTTTTTTTTAAACTAAATTATATTTTTCTTTGTTTTTCTCAATATATATATATATATATATATATATATATATATATATATATATATATATATATATATATATATATATATATGTATGTATATATGTATATATATGTCTATGTCCTATCCTTGTCTATGTCTATTTAGCTACCTATCTCTATGCTTGTCTATTTAAATATATGCATGTCTTATGTATGTCTATGTCGTCTGTGTAAATTGGTGTATATTTGTAATATCCATACCCACATTAACAACATCTATTCAGAACTCTTCGCGCTAGATTCTATATAACCAATAAAGCCACACCATAACACCAACAACCAATGATCCTACCACCACCATCACCACCAGCCTACTAAAAACACGATACCACCCCCGTAAGTTCAAACCAACAGCAATGTTCCGTTGACTATGAGCCACCTACCTCCAGGTACGCCACGCTGTAGTTGAGCGCTAACGAGGCGAGGCAGTGAAGGAAACCTAACAGTGTGCCTATGACGCCTAGCTTGTGTTTAGTGAAGACGGACCTCACAAAGCAATTGGAACACTGAAATACATTGGGCGTGAGATTAGTTCACTGCTCGGCTTAGTTAGGCAAAGAAAAAAACGGTTCCCAAAAGAACGAGCAAAAGGAAAAATGCGCAACCGAAAACTGCGCAAATAGAAAAATGCGCAAATATAAACTACGAGCCGACCCGCAGCGTATCATACGCCGCTATTTAGTTGTTTTATTTTCTACTTTTCAGTAATTCATAATTTGTAAATTCGACAGTACCAATGCTGCCACTGAAAATATTTGCTTTAAAACACTAACCCCCCCCCCCTTTCCCCCTAACCCCAACCCTACACCCCCCCCCCCCCCCCCCCCCGTGAAAGCAGCCTCCTCTTAGTTATTTCTTAGTTACCTCCTGTAAGTTTAAAATCGAACTAAATTATCTGCCCCAAATAGAAACCCGGCTGTACGGCTCTACGATTTGTAAACATTTAGCTTTGTAAAACTTTAGAGTGAACACCGCTCACCAATGTTGGGGTGGGGTGGGGGGTGGTAGTGATAGCGATAGAGAGAAAGAGAGGGGACTGCAAGGAGGCGCTTGCAGCTTGTTTTCTAACTGATCCCAGAAGAGAATTATATATATAGATAGATACTAACAGTCTCTTTACTTGAAGAGATGTCAATATTTTTTCATCTTATTACTGTAAAAAGAAACAACTATGGGACCGTGTAGTCTGGTGGTATAGCTTACTTCTTCTTCTTCGTCCTTAATTTTTAGTGTTTGGAGCCTTATCTGCCAGAGGGTTTGAACTCGAGACTTTTTTTTTCGAATTTATCAACCATGAGCTTTGCCGACTCGACCATGCTTCCATCACAATTAAGGATACGTGTCAACTGGTTATGCGCCATTGAGGCCATTGACTCCGATTTCAGCCTGCTTTTCTTTTTGGATTTGCTTCCATAGCCTTTGTCCAACCAAGAACAAACTAAAGCAGTTGTTTGATTTTGGAGTTGTCTCTCCTAGAAGAGTGGCTGTCCCCAGCTAACGAGCCTCATCTGCCCGAGGGTTCGAAACCATGAGCTTTACCGACTCGACCACGCCGACACCCGGTATAGCTTACGACTTACGACTGCTAAACCGAAAGTCTCGAGTTCGGATCTCGGGCTCGAGTCTGTAAAGAGTTCTGATGGGTACCAGACTCACGTTAGGGAAACAAAGTCGGCTGAACATAGCGCTGACCATACTACCCTCTTGAATGCCGAGGTCATTGAAACAGATGAACTCCACTTCATATGTGTCTTGGGCACGAACGCGAAAAGATTATTATTCTAAAGACTAGACCTATTTCACTATGGTAAACTTGCCAGACTTATTTTAAGAGATGAAAGGATTATAAAAGAAAGCACTATCTTCCATTCAGTGTTTCTTTCAGACTTTTTTCTCCGAGGTGGGGGGGGGGGGGCACTTGAAATATATTTTTGGGAGGGGGGAGCGTTGGACGTCCTTCTAATCTATATTTTCTATTGCCACTCATCTTTCTTGAAGAGAGATGCCTGAGAGAAACAGCTTCCATTCGTCCTTTCTTCTTCCTATGATTATAAAGACTAGCCTTATCACACTTATTACACTTACGTAAACTTGGACCAAGCAGCCAGACTTACCTGAAGAGATGAGAGAATTATAGCCAGGAACACCCGGAAGACCGAGTCAGCCCCGGGGTGGTGGGAGGTGTAGTAGGTCAGGCCAGTGGACAAGAACTGTTTGCCGAAAAAAAACGTTAAAAACGTCATGCAGGTCCACAGGCAGAGCACTGTCAGTAAGGCGACGGACTGGCCGGTGTGGCCCGGGCAGGAAGCGGGCATCACTCTAGGGGTTGATAGCAGGGTCAAGGTCAGGCATTTGGTCGGATCGCTGAATACGCGGTGCATTCGTTGGTGTCACTGTATCAAGACAGCGATACTGATAGTATCCCCCTACCCCCTTAGGATAGTTCTACCCACACTCCGCTCATGTTAGTGTCTCCCAGTGCAATCAGAATGTCACCCCCTCTCCCCCAGGGCTCGTGCCACCCCCTCCTCTCTTGAGGATAGTGTTACTCAGTGGCGTAGCGAGGTCGGGTGTCACCCGGTGCGGCACTTAACCCCCCCCCCCCAGAGGCGTAGCGACTCTTCCCGGGGACAAACTTTCAATTTTTTATTTGCACCCCCCCCCCCCCCTCAAATTTTTCTCCATATATTTTACTATTTTTTGCCTTGGTGTCACCCCCCTAAATGGTATCACTAGCTACGCCTCTGATGTTACGGTCACCCCCTCCTCTCTTGAGGATAGTGTCACCCCATGCCCCCTCAGGATAGTGGTGTCAACCCTACCGTCTAGCACACCCCCCCTTTTTTTTTCACTCCAGCTACTCAGCCATCGATCTACTATCGTGTAGCTTGCATCGACTCTAAATTTTGTAACATACACTAACTTCAGTAGTCTGTTGCACTATCTGGCAGAAATATTTCCTAGCCCTAAACATAACATGCATCGTAACCTCACCCTGACCAAAAACTGCTACATGAGCCTAATTGAACAGTGATTTTTTTTTTTAAAGTTCTACCATTTTACCCATCAAATTTTTTATCTTGAACATAAATTTTTGTTACTGTTTCTTTTCTTACATCAAAAGGAAATAAATAATGTTATTTGTGCACTCCAACTTTTTACATTTCGCTGTTCATTTAAAACATCGCAGCGGAAAATGGCGAAACAAAAAAAAATAGAGATACAGTAGGAGATATTAAAATATATATGAATGAAAACGATATTTTTCTACTTCCCCAAAAGCACTAAATACGATGGAATCGATACCAAAAAAAGATTGTGTATGGTACTGTATGGATGTTGACCCTTACCTAGATATAGGTATCGTTTGACTGTTTTGATATTAAATAGAAAAGTAGATTCATAAAAAAAAGGCTAACAGCAAAAAGGTTAGGTTAAAAATTAATTTCGGTCTTTATCAATCAGGAAGGCCCATTAAATATTCAAGGGAAATAATGGTCGCAGTCCTCATGATGCAAGGGAGACAAATCGATGAGTATGTGGTATGTTTATCCTTTACAGTTAAATTCCCAAAAGGGAGATACTAGTAAAGTGAGGTAGTATTTATGATACCATAACTTTTATTCGAGGTATGATAAATTATGAAATTACTACCCTTCTCACGTTACGTATAAGATCTACATACATTTCTATTTAAAATGTGTAAAGACCTGTTATTTTCTACAATAAATATAAAACAACACAAACATTCAACATTAAAAACAACACAAAGCTGTAGTCCACTGCTTGGAATATTATATTATTTCTCTATATTAAAAAAAAAAGTCAAGTTCATTAGAAAGCCATCAAGCTTAAAGGGTGTAATAGTATCAAATGTACCCATGATCATTATTTAAAATTGGCATTCAAAATGTTAAAAATCATGGCATTACACAATCATCTCATAGAACTTTACAGTCATAACAAGTTACAGTACACAAATGTGTACTAAATAACCATGCAAACAAGAATAAATAGAAATATATATATATTTATATTTAAATATATTTATAATTGTTTATTATTAAAATTTTTATAAAATATAAGCTAAAATCTACCATTAATAATGAGAGAGAAAAAAAATAATGTAATTCTTACTAAAAAAAATGTGTGTTTTTGATGTTAAAAACAAATATTTATGTCAATAATTTAAAAAAAAATTTCCTAAATAAAAATTGTACCGACATTGCATAAAATGTATAATTAAAATTTTTCAACAATAATTTATTATAGCATATTATGTCAAAGAACCACTTCAATAAAAATAAAACAAGACTAGTTTGACACTTCAACTGGGCATACAACACTGCAAGATGGGGAAAAATATTTAGGTGCTTTTTTGTTTTTGGCTGGAGACCACTTTCAACTGTTAGTTATAACATTTCATGGTCAATAAACAGGTTGGTGAGTCATAAACATCAAATAAAATTAAGTGCCCTTGTTTAGAACTATTCATTTTTTTTAAAGGGAAGAAAATTCATGCTTAATTTTCTATTGTTAGGATTTATGTTAAAATTAATCACAAGTTAACAGAAATATATATATATATTTTTTCAAAGGTAGAAGTTTTTTTAAAATATATAATTTCAACTTGAAGTAATTTTTCAAAAATGGTGCAGATATACACTTTTTAAAATAAATTTTTGACAATTATTATGCTAAGACTACTATTTTCTAATATAACTCAAGTTTAAAATAAATTTTTAAAAATTAATGCTCATTATTAACGTCATTATCATAGTTGTAGTGATTATCAATGTTTACAAAATACTAAATAAATATTGTAGGTAGTCCAATGTATTCATACTGATTATTTATGTAATGAAACAAAAAGTAAAACCGATTAACCCAATAATGCCTATAATGATGCTTTTGTTAAAACAGTTGTGTGTTTGATATAAAAAAAAATTAACTGAACTTTCGTCTAATGTTCAGGAAATCACAATGTAGTTTGAGTTTAACCACCAATGTATTGGTTAGCAATGAGTTAATTAGCATTTATGTGTCATTCATGTAGAGGACTGTGTCATTAAAATAACTCAGACATTATAGGGTTAATACAATTTTCTTTTGACAAATTGAAACAATGTGGGTAAGATCATAGTATTAAAATATCATCTGTTAAAAATAAAAATATGCATACAGTTTTGATAATGGAGGTATTAAATCACCCAAAGAAACAAGCAGTTTTACAGTACTGTCACAAGATAGAGTTACATTTGAAAAAAATAATAATAACAAGAATTGATAACAAATTGATCAGTACATTAAAATACAACAACGTAAACAGAATCAAGCAATGTTGAGAGAATGTCATAAGATGCAGACGTTAGGTTTTTAAGAAATTAAAACATCATTCAAGAAAAGTTTAATCTTTACATTTAGACAAGAAAGTAAACTGAAACAAGAATTAAAGAGAGAAAATGGTGTTTAAAAATTATTGCTTTTTTCATGTTTTGTTTCTTTGCATAGATCATGTGTGTTGTGGGGTGTTTTGCACCTGCTAAAACCAAACAACCTTTTAAAAAACAAATTATTTTATAAGTCACTATCATCTTATGTAGTATTTATGAAAACCAAGTTCTTAAAAAATTAAATGTTGTATGCGGTAATCTAAATTTTAAAAAGAAACTAAATTAATCCAATTATCTCAGATGCGGATAAGTAATTTTCTTATATTAAATATAAAGGAGTTAAGATTTAAGAAATGGGTATAAGATCATTTTGGAATGTCAAAACAAAAAATTCCCTGTACTGTTAAGCATTATAAGAGATTTATTTATTTTTAAAAGAATACAAAAAGATATATTTCAACTTAAATTCCTCAAAACATCTAATAATTTTATACTCCATCACTACAAGCAGGTCTAGAATTACAGCACTTTTGCTTTTACAATATTGGCTTCTATTATTTATGATGTCAATTTGTTTTGGAAACTTTTCTCTAAACATCAGAGATTCTAGTTACTAGAAAATATTATACATGCATGTTACAGTTGAAAGCTAACACCCTCATCATAAAAAAATGGAAACTTTTTCTGCAGGGGTTAGAAACCATAACACAAATAATCAAAAGTGACTGTCAAATTGATTTCAGTGAACACCTTTTTTGAGAAAATCAATCAAAATTGTGAACTGTTAAAGGAATTTAATTCAGGAAATTATCCAAGATACAGGTAGCTTGAAGTTTCATGCATTTTATTTCACCTTAAATAACTTAAGCAGATATTTTATGCAGGCATGATAAGCATGTGTCACATAAGTTTAATTACCTTTCTTTAAGATAATTAAGCTATTAAGATAATTAAACTATTGAAAATTACACTCTAGAACCCACTATACAAAAGGTTTGTTGTTTTTGATGTTCTTATATCACTTTATATCAAATTTTAATCTGATTTCTTGGAAGAAAAGCTTAGCGGTGCAATACAGGAAATCATTTAAAACAAAAAAGAAGTCGATTTGTTTTTACATTGGTGTCATCTTTCAGCAGCAAAAGCAAGTAAATTTAAAATTCATTAATAATGTGTTGTACCTCAAAACAAGCTCATATTAAAAAAAAATGACATTTTTTTTTTAAATTATGAAAGTAAACAAGTTAGGTCTTAAAGCAAGTTTACTTTGCAGAAACAAGAATTGACAAAATTCTTGACAAAATGATCATTTAATAATTACAATATTATGGTAATTTATAGTTTAAAATTAAAGTTGTTTAACTTGTATAAATTGTATTTCTTACAACCAAAATGATCAAATGGTTGGGTTTATTTTTTTTTTAAAGAATAAGGCTAGATCAATAACTGTCTAAAAAAAATTAAAATTTGTATCAACAAAATGAACAGAACTGAATGAATCAAACAGAAATTTTTCTTTAGCTTTGGGTCAAAGAAAAGTGAAACCTTGAGCAGATGAAAGAAAAAAAACATAAGTAAACAAACATCTGGTGCTTAAAAATATTTCTTTTATTGTATTTAGATCTTTCTTTTAGCTGCTTGAAGAAAGCAACAAAGGGATTTATTAATGAATGGCAGCCAATTAAATGGCAAAGTAGTGTCTACATTAACTAAAGAAATTCATTGCTTTCCACAACAAGACAACAAGAACTACTTTGTAATGCAATTTCTCGATGGTTTTTCTGTTCAATTAATTCTAAAACTTTTGAAACGCTTTAAGAAATTTTCTTTTCTAAAATAAAAAAAAAATGTATGATGCAATTATCTACTTCATTTTAACCCAACTTTTAGAGAATTCATAAATCAATAATTGTTTTTTCTTCTCAAAATGCACTAACCCAACTCTACTGAAAACAGTGAGAAAAAAAAATGGTATACAAAATATTCTTAAAAACTTTAAGGGGATATTATTAGTTAAAAATGATGGGCAAATTTTATAATGAAACCAGCTGGGTATACAGAAAATACTAATGTCTATAAACTGATTACTATGAATACAAAGGGTAAGTACATATACCTATAAAAAATTCTTAAGATCTTATACGATGATCAACAGAGACAGACCAATACCATAAAAAATTAGACTCAATATTACAAGTGCACTTGTGTATTCAGACATGTTACACAATCCTTACAACATTCAATTAACAAAAATATGTAGGTCTCTTTTTTTTTATAAGTATATAATACAAAAAGTAAATTGAGGCTAAAAAGATGGCACATTTTATTCAGATTATTAATGAAGCATTCCAGATCAAACAAGTCTGATTACTAACACTAACAGATCATAAGTTTTCAAACAACACCCACTCATCTTTCTAAGTCTAGAACTAAAAACAAAATTACAAGTCTAACAGAAGATGGCCAGGACTACACCTTCTAGATTATGACTGTTAAGAAAAAAAGAAAGAAAAATAAAAACAGTCTAGTTTACATAATAAGAATAAAAATACTGTATTATTTTTTTTTTAAAAATAGATGTTTTGCAACCAGTGTGATGGTAATTTTTTTAGGGCATACTTTATAGATGATAAGTGTGGGTTCCTCCGGCATGTCTTGTGTGTTCATGCTATTGACTTTGTGAAATTCAGGAAAATAATTCCAGAAGATAGCTTTAAAAAGGTGAAAAAAAAATATATTATTTAAATCTGATTATTTCTTGAAACCCATTTAAGCATACCTTGATGGTTAGAAAATATGGTGTGCACATGTAAAAATATTTTTTTTTAATTGATGTCAAATGATTATAGAATTGTTATCATGGGTTTCAGCAATTTGTAGACTGTAAAAGGTTTATAGATTTGGATGCTGTATTTCTTTCTTTTCAGTATCCACTCAACAAGGAAAAAATAATGCAAAAAGAAAAAATTTGTTTAGGAGGGGTTGAGACTTGTTTAAATTTTTAATTGTTCCATAAATTCAACTGTCTAAATGGGATTTTTTTAAAAGAAAAGATCCACAATAAAATAACAACAGAGAGCAAGATAAAAGTGTATTTGTGCATATTCAAACAGCCCTATAGGACATGATCATGCACAAACGTTAAAGTTTGTATAAATATAAAACCACTAGATAAATATGCGTCATCTACAGAATAATCGTTAAAAATATATGTATAATATGTACAAATAGATGTCCATAATAGAACAACAGGTCTCAAAACTTCAACAAATTGTTATATTTTAACTACAGCATGGCTTTCAATGCCAGAGAGTCTCCTGGTGTAATGTTATTTTCTAACCCTTTGAATTCCAATGGTTTTGTATAGGAAACAGATCTAAGGTGCTTAAGGCTTCAAAACAGCCTTGGGTATGAGATAAGACAAATTAATATTTTGGAGACCATGGCTCAACAGGTTAAACTTAATAAGCAATTAGAGATAAACAATTTAAAAAAAAAATAAAATCACATTATTTGTATAAAAATACATTTTCATGAAATAAAAAAAAATAATCAACATGTTTGCCCTTTCCATCATGAAGAAAACAATAGTGAAATATAACTCATAAATCAATAAGGGATGCTGGAACAGTCAAACAAATGCATACAAAGCAGAAATAGATTTTACCGTTCTAAGTTGGAAAGATGTCAGTAGCAGAGAGAGAGTGGCACATGCAGAAAGAGTGTACAACCACAAGACCATCTGCAAACAGCACACGCTACACAATTACAAAGTGAGAAGGGCCCTAGAAGTCAAGAAAACTTTAGAAAAATACTGCAGGTTCCAGCCTTCTATTTCTGCTACTAACATTAAAAATGCCTTTGGTATGCTCTGGGTTATGTTATTTTATTATAGGATTCTTATTCAGCTGCCTTTTTTTAAAAATATACAGTTATATAATTACAATAAAACCCCACTCTTTAATAAAATTGTGAACTGCAAAGATTTGACAAAATTTAAGGGGATTAGCTATTTCTTAAAAACCATATTTTCAGAAAAAAATAGTTTTCTTATTTCAATGAGAACATTAAGACATCCTAGGAACATCGTGAGCTATAATAAAATGAATAGCCACCTTAATGTGACTATCTGAAGGAAATGCTTCAACATGAGACAATGGACAAAAAGTCAAACTAGGTTTATGGTATGCTCAGCAGTTAGATTAAAAAGCCATGAATGATGTTGTATAGCAGCATGGGCAGGGGCAGATGGTTTTCTCCACCTTAGTCATCCAACATTCAGGCACCTCTTGCATGCGTCCAGAAGCTTGAGCCAGTCCATCAATTCTTACAAGCTTTATCGAACCAGTGTAACTTTAGTAGTACGGGAGAGCGGTCCTGATCTGAAACACAAGGAACAACTGATTAAAATCAGGCTTCTGTTTTGACCTAACTCTCTGGACTAAAAAATTAAAAACATTTTTTTTAATTGCATCAGTGTTAGGGGGGTGTTATAGTTGTCATAAAACTGATAAGTAAATAAAAGGATATGAGAGTGTTAAATATATATCTTAAAGTACAAAACAGTTTCCTAAAAACATAAATCATAACTTAAAAATACTGTTTTGGTATGGTCTTATGTAAGTGCAAGAAAATATTTTATATATAAACTACATACAACATCCAAAAATTGAAGAGTATACACTTTAATTTTTTAAATCAAGTATTAAAGGATAATGAATGCAATTATAACTGTATCATTTAAATTACTTTTAGTAGTAATATTCTAGACATAAAAGCATGCACAACTATTATCTAGTTACTGTCAAAATACTATTACAATTATGATCTAGAATATATTTGATTCACGTAGGATAGTCTCAGTCATTAGAAAAATATATACAAAAACACTGACACAAAAATGTGTATGGTATACTAAGCTCAAAATATAATTTAAGGAAATGGAAAAATGAAATAGAGTTTGTAGTGATTTGGGTGCATACAAAAACTTGGTGTGCTAGCTTTTGAAGTGGAACCTCTACACTCGGCATTTGGTACCATTTAAAAACTGGTTTTGATATTCTTAATGTGTTTAGGCACCAAGTTTCTGGCACTTATCAGTTGAGTACTTCTTTTAGTGGTTAATATAAATTAGTTTTGACTCATCTAGTGTTAGAATATAGTGAGATTATATTGAAATTCTGATTAAATATATTTAGACTAGTGTATATTGAATTAAGTAATTTGCTCTTAAGTAAGATGAAAGGTGATTGCATGATTAAAGTGGCAAACATATAGAAAATAATGAGGCAATAACACATAACAATCAATTGTCTATTTAGCAGTTAACTACCAAGCAATTTTCATTTATGCACTATAAAGCTAACTATATAAGAGTTCTTTTTTTTTTAAATATAGATCATAATCAAATTTTTAAAAAATTAAGAAATCACTATTTTTTTTAAAGATAATGACCTGAAACATATAATGCACATACAAGATGTGAATTATCAAATAAAATGCTGCTTGCCACTTGGTAGCAAGTCAATCAGATGTTTATCCTATCATCTCAAGAGATCAAATTTTAAAGAGGGGGATAAAGGGGAAGTAAAATGTCACTCTACTCATCATATAAATACTTTGGTAAGAGAATCACAACTTACAGCTGTAAAATGAGGTAATTAAAAACTAATCAAATAATAAAAATCAGTAGGAAAACAAGATTAATGGATAATTTATATGGCATGGATTACATATGCAGTCTATGTTAAGTTATCACTTTACAATCCCACAAACCGTTAGAAAAAGTTTTTAGTTTCAATAGGGTCAAGTTAGTTTTTGTTAATGACTTAAATAATTACATCAAAATTTCATACATAGTTTTTGTAAGAATACAACAAAATATTATAAACAAAATGTGTAAAATTAATATTAAATTATCAATCAACAGTAAAAAAAAATTTTAAAAAAAATTATGTTCTCTGAAAACATAGATAGTTGATATCGAAATACTATTTTTAGGAATTTCTTAACTTAAACTTGGATGTTAGGTAACGGGGAAACAAAATTAGAAAACATATATAGCAACTAAAATATATCATCTTACTGTAATATCAACATTAGATCAAGTCAAATAAGAATTTATTTATTTTTTTAAATGCCCACAACGTAGCTCTGGATTTTTAAATTATTATTTAAAAACTAAGTGACACAGAATAATAAATGACAATAATCAAGTGAATACAATACAGAAAGGGGGGGTGTGTGTTATAGGACATCTGCATGCAAAGTGAAAATCAACCAAACAGTATCCTGAATATATGAACAACCTTAGTTCAATTTCTATCATCCTCTAGAAAGTCATACAGATGTCCGCAAGAAATTTGGTTGGTGAGTTTGCTACACACACAAAAAAAACATGATGAATGATCAGGTTTGGAGTTGACAATGAAGTCCCTGTAAGCAGGTGCTGTACACATGAATAATGGTTAGTGCACTGCAACTGGCTTGGCTTATGACTTACAGTGTGGTTGGACCTCAAGTGGTATTTGTAAGGCCACGTTGGAGTGGAAGAATTGCTGGTGAAACAGTTGTCAGATCTTGTCAGACTAAGATGGTTTCCACTGTCCCTTGTTGTCTCCCCATTCAAGCCAACTGCAGTAAGGCTGATTAGGACCAGAAAGGAATACATCGAAATACAAAATTGTAATCAATAGGATGGGAGGCCAGAGTTATTTCTCTTAGTTAACTTTGTTCCTTGACTGACAGTCAGCAGCAGCAAAGAGAAAGAGCATGTTTACCAGGGTTTTATACACACACATCCACAACAATTATATCCATTGCTAATATGAACCAATGAAATCAATTTATTTTAAATTACAATCAATTTATCTTATTAATCAAGATGTCTTTTTTAATTTACGGCATATTTCAAAAGGGAGGTATCGAAAAAACTTTAAATGCCCTTAAGTGAGTTTAGTTACTTTAATAAATATAAGTGCCAAAAAGGCAAACTGTTTAAGAATAAACATCAAGGCTATAAGTTAAGACCTGTAAATATTACAATCTATTATCAAACTTAGATAACCACCAATCACTAAAATTTGATAAAAAACTGAAAAGTTTCATAAAATTGGGATGAACAGAAAAGTAAACAAATAAAGCTGTGCAACAAGTCTTGCCTCTTGCTATCCATCCTCACTATTCCTGTAAAAGCCGTCAGTTGAGAACAACTGTTCATAGGGGCACCCAGTTGCCATCCTTTATACAATGTTTAGTGAAACCATGCAGGTGAAATACAAAATTATTATCAGTTGTAATACGACACTCAGCTAGGTAACTCCTAACACAAATGATAACCAAAAAGCCATACTAATCAACACAGCTTGTTTAAAAAGTTAAGAGGACAGTCCAACACTGTACACTTGTTAAGGAAAGCAAAAAATAAGAGATCTACTGTCACAACACATAAATATTTGATAAAACACAGGAAGTACTTCACAGTATATTTAACTAACAAAAGAACAAACTATTTTGCTAGAAAAGATTTAACAATTTGTATAATCAGAAACCAAAATAAAAATATTATGAGATCACTTGAATGAAAGAGATAAAGAAATAAAACTAAAGATCAGTGTGTATTATAAGAAATCAAAGCAAACCGTTCCCACTAATATAACCAAACACTGACCACGTGCTGCTCAGTAAATCACAAAAAACAAACTAAACTCGGGGTCAACTACTAAACTTGCTAAACAAGGAACAGAGCACAGGAAACAAAAAGCTAAGTAATATTTAGCCAACTCTGTTATTGTTAATGCTTTAAATGTATATTCTAGTTCAATTAACTGCTTTTAGGCAAGACTTTTTTAAATTTACAAAATATCTTTCTTCGGCTTGAAAAAATAATGTTAATATAAAATAAATAAGCATCCTTTAAAAGCATGCTGTTGAGTTAAGCCAAAATCAAAAGTTAAGCTTGAATTAAAATGCCACCTCAGCTCTGCTAATTAAAATGGTAAAAAGTGAACAGGACAGTCAACTAAATAAAGGCAGAGGGTTGATAAATAGCAAACCACAGATTGAAAAAACAATGATCAGGAGGGCTTCATCTATACATACAGTGGCCCATACCTGGTGTTAAGGTTCTTCCTTAGACTGTACGCTTGTTTTCTGAATAAAATAAGTAGCTTTTAGTCACTAGGGAACTGGCAATAGTTTTCCATCTCAGTGAAAAAAACTAACAAACCAGGTTATATACAAAACTAACATCTATGCCAACATGAAATATTCAAGTGAAGGACATATACACATTGCCAGGGGCTTTATACAAAAAATAAAACTTTGAAGTATTGCCTCATTCTTTCATTATAGCTGTAAAACTAACTCTAGTGGTTTTTTTTTAATTAGAATTTTTTAATGACCATAGTGCCTATAGGCAAAAATTTCTAATAACCTTTGAAAATTATTTATAATTATTAGATTTTTATTAACAAATTAAATACCTATCTAAAATTTATTTAAGGGCAAAAAACATTGAGTACACTTTAATTGAAACCACTTCAAAAACATTAATATTTTTTGTAATTGATAATAACAAATACTCTACACAAAAACTAGTCATAATGTTTATATTTAAAAACAAACATCGTCAAGAAGATTTTGATGGTGAGTTTAGTTGTGTCTCTGAATGAGACGCACTAGAAGAAAAAGGATAAGAGATAAATATTGATGTGGATAGAAAAACTTCAAGGTTCATATGTCACCAAAATTTTTTAACAGGAAACAGATTTTCCATAATATGCTTGAACACACACAAAGGTGCAAGATAGAAGTCCAGCAATGTAAATGTAACAAAAGACAGTGGCTCTTAACCTTATCAGGACCATTAGAATTAAATATAATAATAAATATAAATAAATATAAATTTCAGTGTAATGAAATAATAATGTGCTCACATTTTATATAGAAAATGTAAATTGTAAATTTAAATTAATATAATTTTCTATATTAAAATGTCTTACACACATTATATAAATAAATAAATATATATATATATATAATGTATATTGGTCTTTGGGTGGTTGCGTCTTATGTTTTTCATGTAATAATTGGCTAATCTTTAATTGCTTTTTTAAAGACAATATTTGTGCTGAACTTGAGTATCAATTTTGAAAATTAGTAAAAAACTACTGCTATCTTGAGTGGGCATTTATTTGTATAGGTCTACGAATAATTTTACTTTTTTTTATATTAAATTAAACTTTAATAAAATAATATACATAATAAAAAATTAAAATACGGTTAACAAAAACTGGCAAACTGGTGAATAACACTCTTGGAAAATGAAACATGCTGAACACAACTGGTCTTGGAAAAAAATCATGTTTAACCTCAGATCCTCAGCTCAGTATCAATACACTAAATTTTTACTTGATACATTTAAAGTCATTTATAATGTAAAGCAGCCATTTTAAACTACCGATTTAAAATAAGCTTAAAACAGATGTTTTCTCTGATTTGGCCCACTAATTATATATCAGACAATTTATTTATTACTAGAAAGGTACTAAAAATCTAAAGCGAGAATGCATATAATGATTATTTATTGTTATCAAAATATTTGTTGTCTAAAAGTAAGTCTAGTACTACAGACTAATATATTTCTGAATAGTAATTTCTAAATAAAGATGACAGAATATTGAAGAGGTACATAATTTGGGAAATATCTACTCCAAAAAAAAATAATGTTAATAGAGGCAGATTTAACAGCAAAGAGGGTTCAAAAAGGGGAGAAAATCTTGTATCTAAAGAAAAATGAATTGCCAAGTTACAAGCTCTGTATGTATTTATAGTCATAATAAGAAAAGAGGACATAAATTGTCAATAACAGCTATATAAAGTTTTACAGCAGGAGGCAATGTACAATTGCTAAGCATCTTGATATGTTGGATGTTAAAAAGCTTTTGAGTTATGTCCTTTCCACACAGTACCCTTAGAATATACCATCAAATTAGCTGAACAAAGTAAGTCAAGTGTGAAACTTGTGAAAACAAAACAAAAAGTGTAATCATTTTTGTTTGATTCTACCAACCTTTTCCCAGTAGTGCCAGTAGTTGAGGACATATGCCGTGGGACATGCCTTTTGCCGGTCAATGCCCCACTGCTTGCATTGGTTACAGTGTTGCTGGAGGTGTGACTGTAAACTTTGGAGGATTTGAGAGGAGATATGACACCCTGAGGACTTTTACTGCCTGCTTGCCGGGGTGGCTGGGTGGTGGAGCGCTTGTGGCCCTTAAGATCATCATATCTGTAAGGGGTGGGCACCAGTGTTGTGAAATCCAAACAGGCAAGTGGTAAGATTTGGTTAAGTAAAGGAAGAGCAAGTGAGCTAGAATGCTGGACGTGGGAGGTAGCAACAACTAAAAATATACACATGGATAAAAATCAAAATAATTGTCACATCTCAGGAGCAATCAAACCAAATAAGGGAGCTGGAATAAGAGGCAAGCATTCACCTATGCAACATTCTTGAATAATGCAATAGTCAGAGAAATGTACAAAACCAAAATAAATAATTTCCAAAATTATATTTTTCTAAAACTGAGTTTCCACAATTTGTGTACAAAATACTGACTTTAAGAAAACAAGTTTTAAAAAAATGACCAGATGAATATTACATCATAAAAGTTTATGTAACAATTACCAAATTCTTACATGTCAGTGTATTAAAGCACACCACCATATCTAAAAGCTGATTTAAATCAGGTGTAAAGAAGGAAAATGTCCTTACACTCAAAAAAATAAATACTTGTTACTTAAGTAAGAAAAATGTGTATGAAACTATAATCATTACACACAATGGCTAATCTACAAGTTATTAAACAACTCTATCAAATGGCAAAGTAATGTATTTAAGGATTTAGTTTCTTTAAATCAGTTAAAAACATGTTTAGTTGAATGAATGAATTTTAGCAAAGACTAGTTTAGATACTCACACTATAGCACCGGTCGTAGCTGATCGGGTATGCTTTCCTCTCAAAAGTTTGAGCTGGTTTAATTTATCACCCTGAGTTTCTCCCCCTGAACTCCGTGTCACTGGACCTGAATAAAGCTACAGAAGACACATTGGATTAATCTCTGCTATAAATTTACCTAAATGTTTAAGGGCCTGAACAAAGACACACAGTGGCTATTCTATTTTAATAATAAAATTTTTATCTACATCTGTAACTTTAAACAAACATTAAAAAATGTCTAACATTGATGAATTAACCAAATTAGAGAAATAAATCTACAGAACTTACATTCTCATAGAGGTTACTGTAACGGTTTTCACTGTCTATGGAATCATCTATCCGCATGTCATCTACACCTGACAACAACTTAGAAACTGAACTCTGTCTCTCCCTCTTAGACTTGACATGCTGATCCCTGAACCTGTCACCAAGATTCCAGAGCCAAGACTGTTTCCTAAGATCAGAACATTTTATTTTACTTTCCACTGCCATCAGATAAATATGTTAAGTAGAACTACAGAAGGCAGCCCATAGACCTAATTAGGGGAAATGCACTTACTCTTCCAGGAAATTCTGTTGAGGTCCTATGACAGATCCAGGTCGACAAATACGACACCAGGCAATGGCTTCAGCTGCAGTGAATCTGTAATGCTTTATAAGGTAGCAGGCTATAAGAGTGCCTGTCCTACCAAGCCCAGCTGAAAAGGGGAAATTTTAAGGCTTTATATAAATAAAAAAGTAAGAACAGTTCTCAACACACAACAAAAATGTTACTTCTGGTTTTAAGTGTTACAGATAAAATAAAGTATTGGCTGTGAGTTGTTTTTTAGGTGAGATTCTTAATTAATTTAATAAGTAGAAATTTTGAAAGCACTTAAAACCAGATGTGACATGGTTAAACAGTAAGTAAAAACAACTAAATACACCACAGTACAGTTGTCTTTTTTTAGTGAGATTCTTAATTAATTTAATAAGTAGAAATTTTGAAAGCACTTAAAACCAGATGTGACATGGTTAAACAGTAAGTAAAAACAACTAAATACACCACAGTACAGTTGTCTTTGCTAAATCTGAGAACTAATTCTTTTTCAATAATGATTTATTTTCTGCACCATACAGTTTAGGTAGTCTTGTGAAATTATAAAATAATAATGTCTGTGAGTGTTTGGCACTGAAAATCTTTAGAATATAAAAGGAAATAATAAATGAATAAAATAAATGAGGATTATTCTTGAAAACTTTAGTTTTTTACCTTTACAATGAACAGCTACTGCTCCATCAGTATTTTCAGATAAGTCAAGGAAAGCCTTTACAATAGATTCACTGGGAACACTACCATCAATAAAGAAAAGATCATGATGTTCAAATCCACCATCAACAAACCGCCGGGAGTCATAGATTTTTTTATTTAACCTAACTATAGCTGTAACGTTGTGTTTTCTGAAGTAAGGGAAGTAAGACTCAGGCGCATGAAGAGGGTAACCTGGTAAATTAATACAAGAAGGAAATATTTTAGATTGCACAAACAAGCCATATGGTCAAAACATTTTAGCATAAGGAAAAATATTTTAATAATTTTTACATTTAAAGAATAAAATAATGGTGTAAAATAACTTTCTTCTGAGCACTTGTAAAATAAAATAAGTTATTGTTAAGGAAATTCTTAAAATTATATGGCAAAATTTTTTCATCATATAGTATTTCAAAGTTGTACAGCAAGAAATTATTTCAAAATAACAAATAAAACACATTTTGGAGAAGGAAAAAGTGAAAATCTCACACATTGTAAAAGTGAGTACAAAAGATGTATTGCCTAGATAAAAAGCCTTAGTAGGGAATATTACAGCATTCTTTTTCAGATGAAACTTTTTCTTATACTAATTTAGTACTTTTACTAACTCCCAGAATGAGTTGTATCTATGAAGATTTTGTGCAACTTAATAATTAACAAACACAAGCATGCTTTGAATGCCAATAAAAGTGCTTGTTACATGCACAGGGTGTACTTTGAAATATATTCCAGACATCCATTATAAAAGTAGATATTACAACAACATTCAATTTTAAAAGATCTTGATGAGCATAGGTAAGTTTAAGAAAGAGAATAGTATTCCTTTTGTTTTTACATTTCTGCAACTCATTGCTTTTAGGAAAAATTAATATTTTTTAACAGGCATGTTTTCAAAGAACCAACCTGTACCTCATAAACAAATTAACAAGTTTTCATTCAAGACAGTTATTTATGGCCCAATTACCCCATAACAAATCAATAAATAGTGTCCATGTTATTTCCCAATTTACATTAATTTCCTCTGTGATATTTAATTAAAATTCAGAAACATTAACATTTTAATGCATACTGAAGTCTCTAAAATCATTTGATGATTGTTTAGACATGATGAGTTCAATAGGTCAGTGAGTCTGAAGTTTTAATTCAGTACTAAGAATGTTACTACTTTTCTGCTGATGTATTTATGCTTAAGTGTGGCTACTTTTTAAATTACTTAATCTGAGGTCCAGAGTTCTTACAATTCAACAAAAAAAACTCAGTCAGTTCATAGAAACTGTTGACTGTATAAGAATACAAGTGTTTTTTTTTACAACGTAACAAAAATTTTTTAATCAACTTGAGCTATTAACTAAGTAAAAAAAAAAGTGAGGGAAAAACGTTTCATCTATTCTAAATCCATGAACAACTCATAGGAATGAGATGAGCAGTGGTACTTAGTGACAAAGTTTACCATTGAGTATCTTGGTCTCAGAGTGAGGACCGCTGAAGGCTAGCATTTTTTCAGGGATTATCCAATTGATATCACCATTCTCTACTCTCTGTGTGATTAGCCCAGTTTGGGTATTGGAATGACGAACGAGCACAAATAGACAAAAAAAAAAAAATGAGAATAAAATCAAGAAGAGAAAGCATTAACGAGTGTCATGTGGTTGAGATGAGAGGTAGTCTATAAACCAGGACACCTCCCATCTATACCAGCTGACTCAAAAAAACTGTCCCAGTGGACAGAAGGTTGATATATATATATATAAAAGCATTCATGAGTGGCTTCTAAGAGCTAAATACTGTCTTTTATAAGCTCTTCACAAATACTTTTATATACAAAATTGCAACAAGGATGGTTTAATGCCTAGAGAAGTTTCAAATTACTATTATTTTGACTTAAGTAATCAAATGTAGATCTATTTTATACTTTGAAATCAAGTTATATTCAACAAAGTTTTCATGATGAACTAAAAATTTAACTCAAGCACCCATCCTTCTTGCATAGGATTAGTAAGCACCATACAAGCTGCATTCACAGTTGGTCAAGGCTGTGATGCTGCAGCCTGGACCCTCAATGTTCACATTACCATTTTCTATCTTTGACTTAGGGTGGGGTCCACAAAATGCCAAGAATTTGTTGGGCAAAATCCAGTTCAAATCACCATTTTCTACTTTCTGCAAACAATAAGCATATGACATGTTAAACTGGCCCCCAACTTCTGATATCCAAATTTGTAACCTTCTCTATTTATTATGGCACATCATCCAAGTATCTTGATGTATGGGTGAAATGAATTAGTACACAGGTACACAGTTGCTTCATATACTTTACTCAATATGACTGAATGAAAATGGGCCATTAAATGTAGCTTTCAGCTTCATCTTTAACTTGGTTTTTACCAATGGTCTCTATTTCATGGTGAATTCTACCACATCTTGATTATTGCAATAAGAAACACTTTATATGAACATATTTTAAACATAGCACTAATTGTATATGAATGACTGGTGATCTTATTCATCTTCTTCATTCCTAATTTTAGTGTTAGAAGGGATTCCCTCCAACACAATTTAGTATACTGGTTATGCGCCATTAAGGCAACTGACTCAGATTTCAGTCTGCTTTTCTTTTTCAGATTTACTTCCATGGCCTTTGTCCAACCAAGAACAAACTACAAGGCAGCAGTTGTTTGATTTTTGAGTTGTCTCTCCTAGAAGAGTTGCTGTCCCCAGGTATAAGGCTCACCTGCCCAAGGGTTCGAACCCAAGGACTTTTCAGGTTTAGCACTTATGAGCTTTACTGACTCAACCATGCCAACCCCTGACATGATAATTTTAAAAATGTAAGATACGTGTGAATTTTTACACAGTAATATCTTAATCAGACAGGTAAATATATGGATACATCTGCTACTAATAATAAGTGAAATAAGCAATTTTTTCACAAGTATGTGAGTAATGTATTCCTACTAATAGTTTTGTAGTGTTTAACTTTTTTATAGAGTATAATGGTTATGTACATTCGTGCTGTTTAGATAATTTTCTTACTGTGTTACTAAAAATTATAACCATGACTACTTGTGTATGTTTTTACCTTAAAACTACATCAAACCTTTTATGTTTCTGTTGGTGAATATTTATATTAGGTGCATATTTATATTAGTTTTAAAAAACTTTCATAGGAAACATGTCAAGTTTCAGTGTAACTGTGAAGGTGGAGAATCAGATCTTTTAACTCACCTCATAATGCTCATATTCATCAACATCAAATGTCTCAAAATTAAAGAAACCATTGTCCAGGGCCTGTAACAAGTTTTTAAATGTGGATCAAGTTTTACAAATGTATTTTAACTTGAGTCTTTTTTATCAAAACCTAAGTACACCTTATTGCCATACAAATAGTACATTCCACATAAATTTGTATTTATGGTGAAATTATTTTCAGATTAAATAAAAAGCTTAATTAAAAATACATGTCAACACTAATTTACTAAAAATTCTTTACATACAAAATGAATTAAGTAAAAGATTTTAAAATGCATAAATAAACATCAGTCAACAATATAGTAAGTACTTACTTTATTAAGACCATGCAAACAGTCTAACAGAGTAAGGTTATAGGAGCATGGTCCAAATGAGGCATCTCTGTAACAGGAAGTTTTGAATTATTTTTTTATTTTTGAGTAATCTGTAAGTGAACTTTTAAAACAGGATATTCAAATGTGAAATCCGTTAAATAATTTCATGTGAAAGTATTCACACAATATCAAGGAAAAAAATCAAATATAAGTACAGGAAAATAAAAATATTCATCATATGAAGTTACTTTTAATAAACATAAAACTTAATAAACAAAAATAACTGTTGTCCTCAATACCTGAATGGAAGAAATGGGGGGTTAGAACCTGCAACTAGAGGTCTGTATGCTTCTTCTGGTGTCTTTTTCAAGTATATTATCTGATAGATTATAATTTGGTAAAATATTAACACTTGAAATGCAGTAAAATTGAAACATATGACGCGAAATAGTTTCTGCTAAATGTCATTAATAGCACTTATCAATAATGTAAGTAAAATATGGAACATGAAAGTAGTAGCCTGTGCAGGTTTTACTTTACTAAATAGTTGTTATAAAAACTCACAGCATAGGCTGATATCATAAATGCTGCATTTGCCCTTTTGCGTGCATCAAAGCTGGTGTGGTGCACTATGCGTTTTTTTGCAAGTGAGAAGGACTTCAATTTTTTGTTCACTTTGCAACAGTAACGATATAACAGCCCTAGGTTCACAGGCCCAAAGTCTGCATAGAAACTAAAAAGAAACAAACAATAAGTTAAGGATACATTCGTCCCACAGTTTAATTCAAACAATATATTTAATTTAGTAAGGTAGATTATTACTTCATAAATATTGTAACATTTCCCAGCCAAAATTGGTAACAATAAATAAGTTTTTTATTTTAACTAAAATATACTATATTGAGTGAACAAAAAAATACAGTGAATTAACTTACACCTTTTTTTAAATTATGACTAGTGCAGATCACAATTTTAGCTAGTTAACTTACTTTTCATAAACAAGCTCTTCATCAACACAAAAGTAATGCGTATGTGCAGTAGATTTTGGTTTTGTACGTAATGAAGCAAAGTACAGTCGATCTAAATGTTTAGAAGAAAAAAATATATAAATATAATTATATTCTTTAAGCCCTAAAAATAATGCTTTCTTACTTTCTACCAAACATAATACTAGGTCAGAGTATTATTTAAGGGTCGTCCATTTTTAATGTCCACAAGGAGGGTGGTGGTCCAAAAAGTCTACTTTTGTAAATGTGTTTGATCCATTTGGACGTCCACATGTTAAACTTAACATCAAAAGTTCTAAATGTTACAAGACACAAAACTTTTAGTCTGCATACAAAATGTATACATTAAAATAGACAGTGCCAATGTTTTGACAGAAACACCATTTCGATCAAATGGTAGTTAAACTGCAGTACCTGTACGTTTGTACTTCTGTCAAACGGTGATTAATGAAAACAGAAGTAGAGTTTATGAACTTGATGTACCAATGACACATTTACCAATTCGTGTTACTTACAAATACAATACTTATTTTTTTTTTTGTATGGAAAGAAAAGTTTTAAGAATTGTAAAGTTTAAGGCCTTGCATAAGTTTTAATGAGGGTAAATTAATTAGAAAACAAATTAAAACAAGAACTCAACTAATATTTAATAATCTTTCCTACACATCTGTTTTACTTGAAACATTCTGATTCTACTTTTAATATTTATAAACAGACATTTTGAAAAAGAATAAATCACCTACAGCTACACAGCACACAATTAACTAGCAGACCTGTAATGGGAGCTGTATGTGTGTTATGTGGATTTCTAAATGGATGGCCCTTTAAGTGGACTAACCTTTAGCCCATCCCACTTAATTATTTTTTAATAAATAAATTGAATAAAACTTAATTCTGCTCAGAATGTTAGGTCTATATTACAATTAAAATAATGAAATTTGTTTAAAAAATTACAAATGGGGGAAGGCAGATATAGCACATTAGTGAAAATGTGCTTGGGGAGGGGGGGGAGATAAATGTGATACATCATGTATTTTGAATTTCCTAAAGAAAGATATAATGCAAAATAGCATATGCTTGCCTAAATAATGAATCAAAATAATTTGATTAAGGAGGCAGAGCAATTTTTGACATTTCCAGAGAGCATGGAATATGGCTATTGTCTGTGAGTGAGGGAGCGGAGAAAAAAATTCATTAGCCTAGAAAATGTACCTTCATCGCTCAACTATGATGGGCTAACAAGTAATACAACTTTTAAACCTAGACTATTGTGTGTCTATGAGGAAGCAGAAAAAAATAAACCTGATCTCCCCTAAACTTTCTCGAATATTCTTTTATAAAACAACAGGGGCTGGCAACTCAGGAAATAGAGATGATTTTTAATCCATTTTTAATAGGCCTAACTTAAACTTTTTAAAATAGAATAGTATCTCTAGAAAAAAGGATTGCACACCAAGTGAACGCCAAACAAAATGTGTATAATAGTGCGGATTATTAGTACCTTATAAATTCACATGTGTTTATTGAGAAATAAATAGGAAATAGTGAAAATCACTACTTCCAGTCAACGCAAATTACTCAAAATTTGATAGAAGGCAGAGAATTAGATATTTTACTTAGGCCTACATGTGAAATTTAATTTATCTAACTGAAATAGTACTCAAGTTATAGGCTTTTGAAAAATTGAAAGTAGAAAAAGTTCCACTTCCGGTTATCGGAAATTGCTCAAAAGTTGATACGGATCTACGATTTTGATACAACACTCATTTATGAAATTTCATCAACCTAGCTGTAACGGTACTCAAGTTATCGTGTTAACAGACACATCACACACAGACATACAGACAAGATTGCAAAACTATGTTTTTCCAACTCAGGGAGGTATTAGCTAGGCCAATGCAAAAATTTAATTTCAGTAAAACAATATAATAGTTACATATTTGGATAGGGGCTGTCAATCTGATTACAGATCATTTTGAATTTTCAAAATCTGACCATAAACAAAAAAGTTATGAATTTTTTAGTCATTAAAAAACAGCCGTTTTTTCAGACAACCGGGGTAGACCCTGAAAGAGGAAAAATACTGGGAGGGTATGGACCAAATTTTTAAGCGTTTTTCACTAAAAGTGGTATAAAAGCCAGAATACTTTATCAATTGATGTAATTTTAACACATTTAATAGATTTTTGTATGCTGAATCCAATGATGCTATTTTAAAAAGTGTCATTCGATTACTCAACCTACTAATCTCATAGATTATGTAATACCCCCCCTTTCAATTTTTTTTAAACATCTAATAATCAATGTGATAAGAAGTCATTCTTTAAATGTAACGCTGTTTTAATCTAAAATATGACATTTGTATATGCTCAAGCTAATGGTAGATTTAAAATGGTCCAACATTGTTACATAACTATCAAATGTTAAGGTTATGTAATCCCACCCTTTGCTCAAAATATACCATGAATTTGTTTTAAAATCACTTTTGCTCATTGTCAGTTAACTTCAAGTTAATAGCCTACTAGAAGAAAATATAACTAATCAAGTTTTTCAATACAAAGAGAAGAATGCTATAGTAAATTTGTGATTATGTAACTTCTTAAAAGATGTTATGTAATCTATGTGCAATACTATAGGCCTACTCTGTTCCAAAATTAAAGGCCTATCTCATTATAATTATATTTCTTGTTATTTTAAATATCTTAATCCTTTTTGCTATAGAATTAGTCTAGTTACAAATGTGTCTGATCAGAATCAGAGTGTGCTTTATAGTAATTACGTAATATTATTACCCATATTAAAGTTAATCATTTTTACAATGTCAATAAAATAAACTTTGGAGGAAAAAAATTTTTTTTAAAAACTTGCACAAGATATAGTTTACCTTATAGATATATAACATACATTTATATTTATGCCCAATGTTTATGCTAGTAGTAAGTAGGTTTATGTATTTTGTAAGCCTACCAGTAGGCCTTTTACAATTAACAACTTTCTTAAGAAAAAAGCACGTGTTTGAGTGCTTGACTGTGTAGATCTAGTAGATTCTAGAAATTGTGTAAGATCACCGTGTTTGGCTATACACAGACACGTGTACCACCACCAGCTTTTGCCTAGATTTAGTTCAATCAGACATGTGGGTAATCAGGTCTTCTGACCAACGAATTTTATTGCCCTATTACGTAAACACGACCGCTGGATAGGCTAGTCGGCCAACCCGATGAACGTGTCAGACGAATATTATGTAATCTCAGAGACAAAAGTCTGGCAAGATTTCCTGATCTATGCCCGAGGGTTAGTAACATCAACTCCACAAAGTCAGAGTTTCTTCCAGGCATCTCTTCGGGGGGGCGAAGCCCCCCCGAAAATTTTTTACCGCCCCCCCCGAACGAAATGAAATTTATATATTTTATATAGAAAATATATACTTTTAACAGTGTCCGCCCCCCCGAAGAAAGTTTACCGCCCCCCCCCCCCCCGAAGATTTCAAGTGCCCCCCCGGAGAAAAAAGTCTGGAAGAAACACTGCACAAAGTGAAGGGGGAGGGAGGTGGGGTATGAAACCACCGTGTACCGTACGGGTGTTATACAACATCAAAAGCGATGCTCGTCGGCTTGTCGCGTCACGGACTAGTGGGGGCGGGGTGAGGCTATGGATGTTACACACGGTGTAGAATGGTCAGTGGCTACCTCCATCCACCCCACCCCATTTTGGTCGATTTGGCAAGCTAGTAACCCCCACGTTGTTAGTGGTATTAAAATTTGTAGAAAAGAGCCCCGGATGTAATTTAATTTATTTTTGAAGCCATTTTTACGAAAATGTAATGTACACAATAATGAAACGTTACACGAATCACATCACAGCATTGTTTGATCGGGCCGAAGCTATTCGGATTAATTTCTAAAGATTAATTTTGACGATTAGTCCTCAGCCGTAAATACTAACAAAACTTTTGTTTGACGTTTCAATGGGTTAAGACAAAGTTATGCAACATGTCTGTGTGCCTATAAATATAAAGTAGCAATAGCCGTCGAGTCAAACACGGGAACACATGTATCTATCTTTAGACATTGTTTATAGTATCATCCAATCGGATCAACCGCCTAGCGTCACGTGACCACACACTCGGCTGTGCCACACGATGTGTAGATCACCAATCAGTCGGACGGCGGCCGACGCGTTAATTTTTATTTTCGTTCGGTTTTAAAATGTATGGACGGCTTTATTACGAGGTGCCATAATACAAGTCATACATTAAAATAAACGGCGGGATTTCAGGAATACAGCTCAGGGTTGAAATGTAAAATATGTCCAATAATAGACCGGGAAACTCGGTTCAACTTTGCGGTCCGATATCTCCACAAGTATTTAACTTATTTTGACCACGAACCCTGAGCGTTATACGTCTACATTTAACGTATTCGTCTGCCAAATTTAACTGTTGTAGTAGGTAAACTCGATCCGTGTATACAAATTTTGTAACGCGTCATCAGGTTAAAGACGGCGATTTGAAGCACAGCAGGGCGCGTCGTGTTTATATTTTCGGTCCACTTCAAAGTCTATAGACGTCCTTATTATATGGCCTTATAGGACATATCATACATATTAATAAACGTCGAGATTTCAGGAATACAGCTCAGGGTTCAAATAAAAAATCGATCCATAAATAGCTCAAATAACTTAGTTTAACTTTGCGGTCTGATATCTCCGAAAGTATTTAACATATTTTAACCAAGAACCCTGAGCGTTATACGTGTACATTTAATCTATTCTTCTATCAAGTTTCACAGTTGTAGTACGAAAACTCACAGAGTCTATAGACTCCAAGTACTACCCCCCTTTTAAAAAGGTGAAAAAGCCTCCCCCCTAATCGGCACGTCGCCGCGGAGGGTAAAAAATGCGATTTAATCGGCGATTTCTTCAACGTCTGAAATAATAGAGAAATCAAACTAATACAGTTAAAAAGGTTATTCAATTACGAACAGAATGATGTATAACATGTTAATATAAACACAATAAAAGCATGCAAAAAACAGAGTTAAACATGCAAGGGGTAGGGAAAAGCCGATTTGTCCGATTTTCTCGGCAGCGGCATTGGCCTAGCTAGAGGTATACGAGAAGGTAAAAATTCATTTTAAAAATTTGCCTTTTCACAAATTGTTTAACTTGATATGGGTTACCCTGTTGTACAATTTTTAAGGTTTTCTTTTACCTGAACAGTGATAGAGGAAAGGAAATCATGGAGAAGAAATGTAGAAAAAAAAAAGGCAAGGGCAGCAGGGCTTGCATGGGCATATAAAATTATAAATACATATCACAAGAGGTGGAGTGGACCATTTAGGAAGGCTAAATAGTACGAATTCAAACATTGTTAGGTTAAACTGTAGCAAAGAAATGTTCAGAGTAAATTGGTGTGTGGTGTATTGACCAGAACTTTTTTTTACAAATCAGTGCCTAATATTTAAATTTGTTATTTAAGGCAAGCTATGAGAACTTTAAGAAGGAAACAGATTAAGAATCTCTGACTGGATTGAGTTTCAAACCTTTTATGAACTCAGATGCACATCCTATAATTTCATTTTCTTCTGTGGCCATTATACCCCTGACTGTTAACAGTTAGGAGTGTGTATGTATCCAAAGCTTGTAGATCAATTAGTTATCAGAATAACTAATTTGGATTTGAAAGCAAATCGGGGGTTTGTTTTGTTGACGTTACTAGCTTGCTGCTTAACCCCGAAAGTTTCGTTCAGACAATCTGGCGTGTGTCTCCTTAGGGCTGATATAAATTTACTTAAACGCTGTTTCTAAATAAGAACACCTCAGCAATGTTTATTTTAGTCAGGTAAGACTAAAAAAGAAATAAACAAAAATCGGATTGCCGATCGTCAGGGATACAGATGCAAGACAGCCATGTTTGAACTGGAGGAAATGTACAGGAATGGTCACGTGATTTGAACTCACCAACAAAATTCACCGTTACACTACGTCTCCATGACGATTTAAAAACAGGCCAATAGAAATAATCGTTGTATGTAACTTTCAGCAGAATAAGTGATTTCTTGTTATTGCCTGTTAGGCTATTATTTACATTTGATTTTTACTATCCTATGACAAAGTTATTTAAGTCAATCATTCATGTTTGTAATAAAACACAAATTGATTAATGCATTTTATCTTTTAACTATGATATACAAAAACTATTTTAATTTTAACATTTTGGGCTGTCTGTTTTATAATATGCTACTAGGTTATTGTAGGCTGTTTTGTTTACCACAACATCTCTTTCAACAAATGCATAAAAGTGATTTCGATTTTTATCAGATAGAAATATAGAAATCTAGACCTAGGAAAAAAGAGCCACATATGACTAATAGTGTGTGTTGTGAGGGGGGGGGGATAGAGAGAAGAAATCTCATCAGGTGAAAGTCGTGCATGTGAAACGTCACTTTTTTAAGTGAATTGATGTTATTTAGATAGACTTGGTAGTATTGACATTATTACTTAAAACTGTCGAAAAGAGCCTTGATGGAATTAATAGCTTCCATTCTGGACTTGTTTGTTACGGTGTGTAGCAGGAAATGGTGCCAAAAATCTGTAAAATAACGTGACGTCAAGTTTACCCGACCCACTTCTGTCTTTCATAGCATACTCAGGAGCAAACATAGAATTAGAAAAAAATGTATCACACACGGTGGCGTCACGAGGCGGGGCGGGAGGTGCAGTCCAGTTAAGATAACAAAATAGTAGGGGAAGAGAGGTGACACAAAACCAAAAACGCAAAATTGTATGAGGGGTCACTTGTCACACACACGTGTGGGTATTTGCCAACGCACACACGCATAAACGCGCACGCGCGCACACACACACACTAACAAACATATATATATATATATATATATATATATATATATATATATATATATATATATATATATATATGTGTGTGTGTGTGTGTGTGTATTTCAAGTTTAGAGCTTCAGGTAAAGCAATTTCTGTGTTGTCACTATGATACTAACAAAGCTCAAGTCACACGTATAGTAAGTTTTAGTGACTAATAGTTTAAATACTATGTGACCCCGAAAGTTTCGTACCTGCAATAAGGTGTGTCTTTTTAGAGCTTATATAAATCTACTTTTATTAAAAACAGACATGCTAGGCATGGCTACTTAGGGTTATTGAAAAAGGAAAAAGAAAGCATTAATATATTTCATCATCAACTGTTCCCGTTCTCACCCAAGACACAAATGGGCAGATGAAGTAGAGTTAATATGTTTCAGTAACCCAGCCACCTTTGTTTCTCTAACAAAATGCAGGTATTCATAGGAGTTGTGTAGGTGGGGGAGGGGGTAGGGACTCTGGGGCGTCTTACAGAGCCGAGGGTTAGCAGTCATAAGCTTTAACACCCGACCACGCCAATTAAAAAAAAATCCATCTGAAAATAAACTTAATTTTAATCAGTTTAAAGTACGCTAGAATAAAACACATGTTATCTGATCACATCAATCAAGTGTTATTGTTCTAGTGGCAACTATATAGTGCGTTATTTATTGAATAAAAAAGCGTTCGTCTGATAATATTACTTAAGCCTATCGTATCACTTTACTACATTATACCAGGTTGTACAACAAAAGAAATTGGACTCAGTAACAATTGCTCGACTTTTGAGCTTACCATGCATCCCCTTTATCGCTCCATCGATTTACATTGCGACATCTGTTTTATTATAAGTTAATTTTGTACAATCTTATTTAGAACGAGTCATCTGTATCCAACATGCATGTAAACACATGATGAACCAAGCAGAAGTATGATCGAATCTGTGACGTGTAGAACGAAGGTCTTTCGTCGTCGGACTCGTGTCCGTAGGGGATTCCTTTACCCGTCGAGTCTGGGCAGTGAAGAGGCTGGTCATAGTGCGGACCACACAATCCATACAATATGGTCAACGTATCCGGGACCTTTTAAACCAGGGATAGTAAAGAGGATGGTCATAATGCTGACCATGCAATCCATATAATATGGTCAAAGGATTTGTAACAGATTATCTCTTTATTTTTTTTCTTTCTATGAAATATAAACGATACACTTGAAATATGCATCTCAACAACTCCTCGGTCTTACTATAAATAGTATAAATGATGAAGGGAGTATTGGACTTAAATTCTTGTATACAATGTAATACCATGACAACAATGACTTGATAGTTAATACACAAAATATTTATTGACAGCAATAATTCAATATACAATATTTATTGACAAGTCAATTGAAAGCAGTGTCTCCATACATGATTAAAAAGTGTTTAATTATTTTAAATTTTTTTAAACCATGTATTTTTTTTAGTGCATAAATTTATAAAAAAAAAGTCAATACTTTAAAAGTTTTAATACAATATATAGAATTGCATTGTATTACTACAGAGGGGGATTGAACACTTACATTAAGTGTATAATAGTTAGGAAAATAGTACTTCACATTCATTTATTCTTAAAAGATAAGATAAAAATGTTTGCAAGCGTTGAAAAACAAAGGTAACAAGATGTTTCTAAAATTAAATGGCTAAGGGCCTGTGTAGTTAATAAAAAAATATTTCGAGATCCATAAACTAAGCAGATTCAAATAAAGTGACCGCAATAATCTGTGTCAGAATGGTGCATATGACAAATCAGATTCATGGTGTAAGAGTCATTAAAATAAAATAGAAATATTACCATCAATATTTAATTGATAGATATAACATTTAGCACAGGCAAAATCAAACAATGAACAACGATCCTACAAAGACGTAACCAAATAACCAGAACCAAACGACGCCGTAGTTTGAGCTAGACTGTGACACCAGCAGCTTTAGGCAGGTCCCTTGATACACGGAAGGATAGGTTTCCTCTGTCCCAGCTACCACAATACAGGTCAGCCGACAAGCTGGGTCTGCGCTGGTTAAGTACTGGACTATGTCACTGAGTTTCTCGCAACACATACAGACGGGCACGGTGCTTGCGTTGACCTCGGGATAAAGTGTTAAGTGCTCCTCAATTTGCGGGATGACCATATGCAGATCTATCGAGCGAATTTGAGAAATATTGTGCTGAGGAACATTTTTAGTTGGTTTATTGTTTGTTAAAAATCTGGCACGTCTTGCAAAAGTAACGCCCTTTGACAAAGCAATTAGTTTTCTTATATGGTTTGCAAGTATGCTGATATCTGGGTATATGGCAATCATATTATAATTCGAGTACCATATATATGTAAATCTATACAAATAAACTGACAGCCTCTGATCATAATCTACAGCAGGTGGTTTCCATTCTTCACCAATATCAAACTCAGTTTGTTTCATAGCACATTTAAAGTATCGAGATATACTTTTCAACTCCTCTTCCGAAATCGGAATGCCTTCGTCTGATATTGCAACTTGCAATACATATTCTCGCTTGCAGTGCCCGGATGGGCGCATCGTGAAGTCGTGGTTACACCCGTCTTCACTGCATACAATATCGTCATTTATCCCATCAATAATATCCTGCTTTGTGGTGTTGCAGGTAGCGGACTTCCATGAGGTCCGGCCTGCGTTGACCGCCATTAGACGGAGTTTGTTGTTGGTGATGGAGGAGATGATTGAAAACTCGAGTTCTCTTTCAGAAGAGAATGGCTCTGTGACTGGTTCCATTAGCTTGGCGCTTACATCCTCTGAACAGTAAGCGCAGTATTTGTTGTTGTATATGTTTTTCTTCCCAACTTTCACATACGAGATTTGTGCCTGGCATTTCTCCATCAAGCTAGAGTTGGAGTGATGCTCTTTTTTCTTGCAGACTCCAATACTTGATGGGTGACATTGCGAGGCACGCTTTATCTGTTCAGTTAACCTAGGCTTTAAGTAAATCGGACTCTTTGTCTCATTATTGGTGTTTTCATTTGTGATGAAAGATTCTTCGAAGTTGGCATTCCATAGGATAGGTTCAGCATCTTTGAGTGCGTAGCACTTAAAAACGTCAATATTTTTGAAGACGAAACCAGATTTCACGTCAGTGATAGGTCCTTCAATCAGAATTTTAAAGAGGTCAAGTCTCACTTTTTCAGAGTTTACAACTTCTAGACTATTCGAAGTAAACAATGTCTTTGGTCTCTTTGTTCTAGGTCTACTCAAATCCATTCGATTTTGACGCGGCGGACATGTTGAGATTTGAAAAATTCCATCACTGGAGCATAGAACAACAGATCCGTGCAGTGCCGTGTACAATGTCCGGCTCTCTTCTAGTACGTCTGGGCAGGCGTCCACCATGTCTTCACAACAGTTTTTATGAACACCGCACCGGACATCGCACGCACACGGCATCTGCTGCAACTGCCCACATTTTCCCACACAGGAAGTTACATTGGAAACGGACACCGACTTACCTACGCTATTTTTCACCGGAATTTCCCAATTCTCTGAAATGTTTTTCTTAGAAAATTCATGTTCACCATTTGTATCGTTTTTAAAATCAGTTGTTTGAACGTTACCCAAAGTGAAGAAAAAGTAAATAACAATTAACTTGTGCAGTTTAGTCATGACTTAAAAATAAAACAACCACATATTATGTTATTAACAGTTTCTTTCATAGTCTATGTTCAAGCAAAATCAAGTATTAAACGCAGGTCTACTTTATCTTTGAAAATATCCTCTTTTTATAACAGGACTTTGCATTAATTATAGTCATGAGATGTCATTTCACACATTTAACATGACTATTTCGTTAACAAATACCTCTTTTTAATTAGGCTTTCGAAACAGCTAAAATCGAATCGCTGATAGTGGAGCTAAATATTAATAAAGCTTTTAATATCAAACTAGAAACAAGATTCTTATTTTTAAAACTGCTTTAGGGTAAACGGTATCGGATCGAGATGCATCAATGTCGGTATCGTTGTTATATAATTATTGTATCGAGAT